AGTAAATTCTGGAGATGTGTGTAGTTTACTGCCAGTAAAATTACTAGTCTAAGAAAATGTCCACATGTAGGATACATTTGGAATAAATCAGATTTCTAAAAGATGTAGCTTGGAAATAACAAGAATCTACATGTTCTCGTTTGATTTGCTGTAATAAAACACACTGATCAAAAGCTACTTGGGGAAGAATGGGCTTGTTTGGCTTACACTTGCGGGTCACACAGTTTGTCACTGACTGGAGAGGTAGCTCAGTTTCTGAGTATTTGTCTATTATGCATGAAGCCCTGGGTTTGGTTGCTACCACTGAAAAAACATTTTTTAGAAGTCAAGGCTAGGAAAAATTTTTAAGAAATGACCAGTTTTTTCTGATGGAACATTTAAAAATCCAATTGAGGGGCTGGAGAGATGGCTCAGTGGTTAAGAACACTGGTTGTTCTTGCAGAAGACTCAGGTTCAAATCCCAGCACCCACATGGCAGCTAACAACTGTCTGTAACTCCAGTCCCAGGAGATCCGACAACCTCTTCTGACCTCCGCAGGCATTACATGACACGGGTGCACTTACCTACATTCAGGCAATACATGAATATACATAAAATAAAAATAATAAATAAAATATTATAATAAATAAATAAATTAAAATCCAATTGAAGAAATGATAGCACATTTGGCTTCTAGAAAGAAATCACATATAAGCTGAAAGTAAATGTATCACCAACCAGTATTAAATTTATCATCAGAAATCTTATCCTTAAGGAATATATGTTTTCTCTATCAGTTTAAAACACTATAGAGAAACTGATACATGTTAAATATTCCTCAAACAAAATATTTGGGATCGTTAGTATTTTGTATTTTGGCATGATTATATGACTTGGGGATGAACTACAAGTATAAATAAATAGCCCAAAGGTAATTTTATACAGTCTTTTAGGCATGCCTACATTTTGACTGTGATCTGCCATATAAGATATGAAATTGTATTTTGGCATGATTATATGACTTGGGGATGAATTACAAGTATAAATAAATAGCCCAAAGGTAATTTTATACAGTCTTTTAGGCATGCCTACATTTTGACTGTGATCTGCCATATAAGATATGAAATCTTCTACTCTGTAGCACTATGTAGTCATTCAAAATTATTCCATTTTGGGACAGGCATAGTTGGAGGGGCGTGAGAGAGAGAGAAAGAGAAGGGAAGGGGGGCAAGGGAAAGGAAGAGGGAAGAGAAGAGAAGAGGGGAGGGGAGGGGAGAAGAGAAGAGAAAGAAGAGAAGAGATTAGAGAGGAGAGGAGAGGCGAGGAGAGGAGAGGGGAGGGGAGGGGAGGAGTGGAGAGAAGGGAAGAGAAAGGAGAGAAGAGAGGAGAGG